TGGGGATTTAGCTCAGCAGCTCAGCGCCTGCCTGGCAAGCACAAGGTCGTGAGTTTGATTCTCACTGCCAGAAAAAAAACCTAAAAAATAAAACACTTAAATTAAATTAAAAAAAAAAACTGAAACATCTCCCACAAGTAAGGAAAAGGCTTGGAATAAGATAGCAAGTAGGAGATAAAATTAAAGATCAGACAGAGATCCAACATCCAGCTAACAGAAGCTTCAGGGAATCCACATAACACGCAGAGAAAAAGAAGGGAGAAAACTATCAAGTCTGGTAGAACATATTCCCAGAAATGGAAAAAAAAAACATCTAAATTGAAAGGGCCCAAAAAATAGGAAGAGACACATACAAGGTATATCATTAAGACCTTTCAGAATACCAATGATGAAAGGCTACCCAAAAAAACAACCAGAAAGAAAAACCAAATCACCTGTAAGGTCAAAGAGAATACAATAGATTTCTCAAAATCAGAGTGAAAGCTTCTAGAAGTCAACAGACTAATAGTTTTAAAATTCTGGATGAAAATAATTTGCAACCTCAAATCTATTCAAATTATTGGAAAAAGACACACATTGGCTCACACATTAGAGCACACGTTGGCTCAAAAAACTATTTTCCAGGCATTCTTTCTTAGAAAGCTACTAGAAAATGTGCTCCTACGAAACAAAGAGTGTTAACTAAGAAAGAGGTTAACATGAGACCCAGAAAACAGGCTTGGCACAGGGGAAGCAGAAAATATACAGCTTTCTGTGTGAGTGCCAGAAAGGTCTGAGCATGGGAAAAAGAAAAGCAACTCCTTTGAAAATATGGGAAATACTCATGAAATACATGTAATTATGTTATGAAAATGGAGGAACAAGTAACAATCGGTGCACACAAAAAGTAATACAAGGTAAATTTTAAAAATTACCTATTTCAAGAAAAATGGAGAATATGATATAATCTATCCAAATATAAATCCTGACTATTAAGTTAACCAAAAATTGTATTATTAATGGCAAGCAGAAAGAGAATACCTCAATTAACAGACAATGTTAAAAATTACAAAATCCGGAGGTAGTAATGAATGTTACTTAGAAATAGACATGTCAATAATTTGGAGGAAGATGAAACTAAAGGTTGAAAGGTATTTTTTATAAATACTACTAACTTCCGAAACCTTATTTCTTCTGTTACAACTTTTGATATAATACTTTCTTATTAAAACAGTCTGGCTAGTATGTAAAAAGTGGATATAAAGAAGAGATGGGTTGGAATAAACACTAGTTAGGAAACTAAGGCAAGCTGAAGATGGTGGTGGTGGTGGTAGTGGTGACAGGGGCTGACAGCAGCACGGTGGTCATAAAGATCTATTTTTTAAGGTGACAAAACATGAAGATTTGTACAAGAGGGATCACAAGGGGGTGGGGAAGAAGGAAATGTTAGAAATTAAGGGTTCTGTTTTAGATATATTAAATTTTAGACACTTACCAGAGCTCCAAGTTGAGTCATCAACAAAAGTCTGATGCATGAGCCTGGGGCTCAAGAGAGATACAAAACGCTGGAGATAAAAATTTTAAAGTGGCCAGACTAGGTGGTACATGCTTGTAATCCCAGCATTCGGGAGGCTGAGGCAAGTGGACCACTGCAAGTTCAAGACCAGCCTAAGGTACATGGTGAGTTCAAGGTCAGCCTGAACTACATACCAAGACTTTGTCTCAAAAAACAAGAACAAAAATTTTAAACAGGCAATTAGAGTCATTAGCTACAGTTGGTACTTAAAACCTCTAGGACTGGGTAAATATGATAGGGAGAGTTGGCCGTAGTGCACACTGGGCCAAAGGATCGTCAAGAGTGAGGCTAGCCTTGGCTGCATGCTGAATTCAAGGCTGGCCTGAAATACGCAGCAAGACCCTGTCTCAAAAAAAGAAAAAAAAAAAAAAAAAAAAAAGAGAGAGAGAGAATAAGATAAGTAAAAGAAGAAATAGAAATATATTTGTAAATATATTTGTAGAGGATGTGGTTCATGGTTAGAGCTCTTGGCTAGCATACACCAGGCTCCAGGTCTGACCCCAGCACTGTTACCAAAAACCAAAACACTAAAACACTAACTGTAATACATTTATATATACATTATACACTATAGAAGTATAATAGAAAAAATTGAAAATAGCATGCATATTTTGAGATAAAGCAAGTACTAGTTTATAAACTTTCTATTTCAGAGACGACAGGTATATATATATATAAAAAAGGTGACAGGTGTAATTTATACACTTATGAAAATAATGGGAATAATGTATTTCCTACTATAAATCATGGTCAGTAAGGTTAAATTCTCGATGAGGAGCAGGAAAAGATAATTAGCCACTAAGGAAAAACACCATGGAAGTGCACAGTTTGAAAGTCAAAAGAAATGCTTCTCAGAGAGAGTGCTTAATGCTGAGAATGACAACATTCAAGAAAGAATGAGGCAATCCCCAAGAGACCATTTGTCACTGACCTTGACAAGGGCAGCTTCAAGGAATTGTGAAGGACAGAAACATTTTAGAATGAATGACAGCTGAGAAAGCAGAAACAATCAATATAGACAACGGGAAACCTCCCTAAATTTGAACATCAAAATTCACTAGGGGCCTGTCAGAGCTCTAAACTAAGCTGATTCCTCCTGGCAGATCCCATCACATAGTTGGCTTTCCAGAACCTAGAAGGCACTCAATATTCAGTGTGCTGAACTGAATGAAATCAGAAAACAGAAGACCCAGCCCCAAGGGCATAGGCTCTTAATCTGAACCTCTACGTTTGGGTTTAAGAAAGAGGAGTCTATGAACTCTGATATAGGGAGAAAAAAGTACATTTTATATTTCTCTAACTGTTCACAGTATTCACCAGATTCTCAAGACTTGTGACCACCAGAAAGGTAAGAACAACTGTTTCATGGGCATCCACCTAAATTATCCAGCTATTCGCTACATCCAGTCAGTGCTGAAAACACTGGTGTTTGTTACACATTGAACAAGGACCCTTCCCCTGGCAAATTCATACGCTGAAGTCCTAATTTACAATATGGCTGCATTTGGAGATAAGACCTTTAAAGAGGTCATAAGGATGAGGGCTATAATACAATTAAATAACATGTAAGTATATGTTCTGCAGAAGCACACAGATTTTCTCAAAGCATAGCTCTAATACTGCACATTGTGCAATGAAAAAGAGATCAGGACACAGAAGAAGGCCACATGGAGATAAAGGTTTGGCTATCACCAAACCATGGAGAGAGCCCTCCAAAGAAAATCAACACTGATCACACATTGCTCTCAACAGTTCAAGCCTCCAGGAATGTGAGAAAATGAATTTCCGTTGATTAAGTGACCCAGTCAGTGGTATTTTGCCATGGTAGCTAATGTAGCACCCTAGTTTCTTAATTCTGGTACACTACCCTCCTCTCCCCAAACCCAGGCACAATCCAGGTCAGAAGAGGATATCTTACTCCACCAGGTCTTCCATCAAAATTTATTTGGACTACTTCATAAAACGATTAGTTCTTGAACATTCCAATCAAAACAAGGTGTTATACTTCACCTCTCTTATTCCATGTTTCCTGAAATTAAAGACACTTTTAGTAGGGCGTGGTAGCGCACGACTGTAAACCCAGCACTCTGGTGGCTGAGGCAGGAGGGTCGCTGTAAGTTGAAGGCCAGCCTGAGTATAAAGTGAGCTCAAGACCAGCCTGAATTGCATAGTGAGACCCTGTCTCAGAAAGACAAAAGAGGACACTTTTAGAAAAATGAGTAAAAATAAATAGTCAAATAACTATTGAGAGATGAGAATTTTCACGTCTTAAAGAAAGCTTGGCAACTATTCTATCCAAGGTGTGATATGGGCTGGATGTCATATCCCCATGTCTAGGCAGCCTGTAGGTTCAAATTAGAAACGGTAAGATATGTCTCCCCACACGCAAATCACAAGGATCTGGTTTTCCTTATTTCAAGAACCTTAAACAGCTACAATCAGACCAAAATGTTGACATCACAAGCAGGAAGTTGAGAGAGGTTATTCAATTATTTTATTTCATTAGAAAGGCTGTATGCTTTAGCTCCAGTGTGCTGGAGAATGACGACCAAAAAACCATTTAGGGCTGGTAGTGAGTGCACCTCAGTGGAGGAGTACATACGTAGCAAGTGTGAGGTCTGGGTTCCATCCAACACCAAATTTAAAAGGTGGAATAACATACAAGTATATGAATATGCACAAGCACACACATATTTTCTCCAAGCAAAGCTTTAATACTGCACATTGTGTAATGAACAAGCTCTCTATAGTATTTATTTTGAATTCTGACCAATTGCTGCATCAATCTGAAGCTATAATTGTCTTGTAAACATAAATTCACATTCGAAATACTTTTCAAATTTTCACAACTGCTCAACCTCTTTGCTGAGACCTGTGGTTATCAGTTACTGTGTATAAAGAAAAAAAGCTAAGGGGCTGGGGATTTAGCCCAGCGGCACTGTGCCTGCCTGGCAAGTGCAAGGTCGTGAGTTCGATTCCCGGTACCGGGGAAAAAAAAGAAAAAAAGCTAAAATTTTGCTAACATAGCTTTGAAAGAGTTTAACTTGCGCTCATTGCAAGAAGGAAAATGCCCACGGCACATGAAATAGCATCATGATTGCAGAACAGAGTTGGGCTACCTGACCTTGGAAGTTTAATGTAGCTGGTGTTTTCAAATTCTGCCTGTTCTCAACATCTCTGCTTGGAATTTCGTTGAAGCCTGAACTCGAAGTAAATAAACAATTTCACATGTTCTGCAAACCGAAGTGTGTCCCAATCCTTGATTCATTAAATAAAGACAGCGAAACCGCCCATTACCACCAGGGTCAGAATATTTCAAAAAGAAAAAGGAGTAACCAATCACTTCCCCTTCGCACACAGGCCACGGTTAAAATCTGGGCAGACAGTGGCAAGGATGGTAATCAAGGGCAGACGCTGAAGAGACCGGGTTTAATGTGGAGTCAAGATGCCCAGCCCCGAATCCTGCCCTGTCCTTCTCCAGGACCAGCGGGTAGGGCGCATCTCCTGGGAGCTCCCTCGTGGGAGGGAAGGAGACAGCCGCTGATCTTAACGCGCTGGTCCATCCACGCCAGTGCCTGCTGACGCGGAAGGCTGTGCCGAGACCGCACCAGCGAGCCCAGCCGGCGCGCGGACCTGTTCCGCGGGGGACGCCCCCACTCACCGCACACCATCAGCAACAGGACCATCAGCAGCGTGGCCACGAACACCAGCAGGGTCAGCCCCACGTTGTGCCACATCTTGAGTCGAGGCGGGTGGCGGCCTCAGCGCGCGGGCGCGGGCAGCGTGCTGGCTTCAGCGGTGGGCAGCGCGGCCCCGGGGCGGCATGGGCGGAGGGCGCCCCTCGGCGGCGCCCCCCGGAGGGGGAGCACGCAGGCGGGAACTGCGGCGGCCGGCCCCTGACCCTCCTTGTCTCGGGGACCCCTACGCCCTCATCGCTCCGGGGAGCCGGGGCCGCGGCGCGCGGAGACCCCACCGCTGGCCGGATGCGCTTCCATGGCGGACGCTGCGCGTCTGAGGAGAGGGTGAGGACAGGGACGCACGGCAGCCACAAGGCCCTGGTTGCCGCCCACGGGAGAATCTCTCGGTCCCAAGGGACGCCAGATGTCAACGTCTCTCGGCGGCGGTCGCAGCTGCCGCTCAGACACAAGCCCCTCTCCTCGTATGGCAGCTCATCACCAAGCGCCCCCTCCGCTCGCCTCCGCCGCGGCGCGGGGGTGACTGGGAGATGGAGTACGGATCCCGACGAAGGCCGTAGGGGGCCCCTTTGCGGGAACTACAATTCCCAGAATGCCCCGTCGCACGGGGCTTCGCGATTCCCTCCTTCGCTCCACCCCCTGTGTCTTTGGGCTTTCTGCGCCAAGGCTTCTTTCCTTGCAGTGCGGGCGGCTGTTCTCTCAGCGTGTGCAGTAGGCTACCCTCTCGAGGACTGTGCCGAGGCTCCAGTGAGATTTCAACCCTTGCTTGGCTCACAGAGCCCTTTAAAGTGCACCGAAAGAGGAAAAGGGAGGCGGCTGCCTGAAAAACTGGTTGCCCGTGAACCCACCCCTATTGCCTGGAGCGAAGATTGGGTACTTGGGGCTTTGGAGGTGCTGCGTTCTTGTCCAAGATAAGGTTCTGGGCCAGGAGTCTCCTTTTCCGCCAGCAACAGATGTTGTGCTCTGTGTTTCATAGGTAATGTATTTCAGAAATGACATCTGCAGTGCTGTTAATTCACCTACCTGAATTGGGAGTTTGATTCAGCTGCGTCCTTGAAACCAAGCAACTTACGACCCACAACTGAAGGTTTCGCCTCACTCCCTTGAACAGATGTCTGTGGAACAAGACACTTTTAACAGTCTCAAGTACTAGATCTCTATTTGGAATTAAAGCTCCCCGATTCTGCCGCATGAGAGTCGTTCGTGAAAACAGTGCCCCCAAAGAGGATAAGTGTGTGCCCCTTTTAGGAGGAATCAGAGCCTTCACGTTTTCTCATGACTGTTGCTCCTTGCAGTAGTTCTGTACGCCTCTGCAATGACTATTCCCTGTTTTCCGTCTCCAAAAACAGAAAATCTAAGGAGCAGTTCCTTGATTTAATAAATGTTAGCTATTCCCTGCTGCCTTGGTGTGTGAGCTGGATTCCCCATGAAAGAGTATTGTGAACAAATACTATATATGAAAATATGTAATAATTTGTTTGCAAAAGATTTAACAATGTTCCTGTGAAAAGAGAATGAGCCCAGTGCAATTAAAATCTATTTAGGAAAATATCAGTTTATGCTTTTTTACGTAAATGATTCAATTCTATTGCATAAATAAAACAATTTTTAAGAAATGTGGTTAAAAGAAGAACTGAAAGAAGTTATTTTAAGGCTTCTTAAAATGTCTTCTCTTTCATTCGAATACCTGTATTGAATACCTGTGGCTGGCGGGCATTGTTCTAGATGCTGGAGTTGCAGCAATGAATGAGGTAAACAAGGTGCCTATGCTTCAGACCCTTATGTTATAGTTTGAAGATACAATGGGTATAAATAGGGAAAGTGCAGGAATTGCAAATTCGTGGAATTAAAATAAGCAGGACAGTATGGTGAAGATGGAGGCGTTACTTTAGTTTAGGGAGGCTATGGGGAAAACTTACCTGAGGAAGTAACAGTTGATCTGAGATATGAATGACAAAAAGGATTCAGCCTTGCAGAGCCCTCGAGGAGGAGCTTATGAGGTAACAGGAGCAGCTTGTGCAAAAGCAGCAAGGAGCACACGAACTTCACACTTCCCTAAGCCGTGGCAGTGTTTCTCAACTCTGGATGCACATTTTGAATCACCTGGGAAAATTATAGCTGGCCAGATCTCATCCCATATGGAATGAATCTGAATCTCTGGAGGCAGATCCCAAGCACAGTAGTTTTTAAAAGCTCCTATTCTAATGTGTACTTTCAAACTGTGGTTCTCAAAAAATGATCTCCAGGTCAGCAGGATCACCTGGGAACTTGTTAGAACTGCCCAGGAACACCTATTGAATTCAAAAGTCCATGGTCTAAGTAAAAGATGGTGGCTTCCATTAAGGCAGTCATCACTGGAGTTGGTGAAAAGTGGACAGATAGGGAATACGTTTTGGAAAGAAAATCATCAGAATTAGCTCATGGATTAGTTGTGGGGAGGGGCAATGAGGGAAAAGAGGAATCAAACATTATTCTCAGATATGGAGTAAAGGAAGTCCTTATGTGCCGTTGGTGGGAATATAAGTTAATACAGCCATTGTGGAAGACAATATGGAAGTTCCTTTAAAAATTAGAAACAGAGCTACTCTTTGAGGCACACAACTGTGTATATATCCAAAGAAACACTGGAAGAGACATCTGTGTTCCTATGTTTATTGTAGCACTATTCACAATGGTCAAGATATAGAATTAACCTGTCTATGAACAGATAAATGGATAAATGTGGTATATATACACAAGAGAGTACTATTCAGCCATGAAAAAGGATGAAATCCTGTCATTTGCAACAACATAGATGAACCTAGACAATATTAGGTTAAATGAAAAAAACAGAAATAAAGACACATGAATGATTTTGCTCATATCACCTAATATTAAAGTATTAATCTCATAGAAATAAGAAGGAAAATAGTGGTTACTAGGGAAGGGGATAGTTGGCAGAATGGGTGGGAAGATGTTTGTCAAAGGATATATAATTGCAGTTAGATAAGAAGAATAAGTTTCAGAGATTATTGTTTATACAGTGACTACCATGACAATATTTTCTAATAGAGATTTTGCAAATGGGAAGAGGACCAAGAATTGGAAGGAGCAGGGGGGAAAAGGAGGGACAGGGGATAAAAACAAGAATATGTATTGTGTACATGTGGGGACCATATGGCTTAATCATTACCCAAAGGTCCCATCTGTTAATACTATCACATTGAGTGTTAGGCTCCAACATATGAATATTTTTTGAGGATAAACAGTCACACTAGAGTAGTGGTTACTCCTTTTATGACAAATAAGCTTGCTTGTGTGTATATGTATACCCAGTTTCCATATCTGAGTGTTAAGACGGGAACACTTACTCCCCTCCTGCTATTTCCTTCCTTGAGGAAGGAAGCTCAATTGGTGTAATACTGTGTCTGGTCTTTCTGTGCACATTTATCCCCTCTGTCCCCAGTCAAAAAAGGAGTGATTTACCTAATTGAAGATAAGTACATTGAAGGTAAGTACATTCAGCTTCTCCATGTTCTTCTTCAATAGGGGCTACCTCATTCATAAAGGCCACTTGAGTGGGGATGTTCAACCTAGTTTCCTTGACTTAGGATTTAATTAACAGGCCTAGCTGGCTCATATTTATATGTTTTCTAGCATAGCATTTATTATTAATAACGGTGATATTTGGACCTCCAAACTCTATTCCTTTTTTATTTTTGAGAGAGAGAAAAGTGTCACTATATAGCTGAGGCTGGCCTTGAACTTACAGTCCTCTTACTTCAGCCTCCCAAGGGCTGGGATTACAAGTGCACTTCCTTTTTCACAATTTACAGATTTGGTGACATCATTCACTATTCTCTTCCCATAATCCAATACTGCTTTTAAAGTACTTAAAGGCAAAAGGCATTAATTCAACACTTATATACTGCCATGTAGTAGACATTTGTTGGATACTGATACAAATGCAAACGCACACTGATGTGCATGTGTGTGAACTGAGTTACAATACAAAAAACTTTTGTTGCTATGGGTTATAGTTTGTAAAAAGTTGTAGACTCATAGCTGAGCAAGGGAAGCAAGACATGTATATAAGTGATTATATTAAAAATTATTTTCCATGTGTAACACAGGATTTTGTAGATGAGATCAAGGCTAAAAGACAAAAAATTAGTAATAGATAATGAATATAGCTGACTGAAAAGACAATTTTAAGTCAGTCTGACTTAAAAGACAACTTGTTCATATGGTACCATAAGACAGAGCATAATTTTATTGGGAAAAGTCTTGGGAAAAGGAAAGATAAAGGGAAAAGACACATCATGAGTGCATGCTGAGGGTATTAGTCAGAGTCTGTCACTATAACAAAATACCTGAGATAATTAGCTTATAAAGAAAAAAGGTTTATTTAGTCCATAGTTGATGATCCAATTGTTTGGGGTCTGTTAGGAGGCAGCACGGCATGGCGGAAGTATGCCACAGAGCAAAAACACTCACATCATAAGCCATGGAACAAAACAAAGGAAGAGGAAGGGGCTGGGATTCCCAAATCCCCTCTCAGGGCATGCTCCTAATGACCCAAACACCTCCATTAGGCCCTGCCTCTCCAATGCTCCATTACTCCCACTAATGCCCAAACCTTTAATATACAGGCCTCTGGGAGACCCCGAACCATAGCAGGGAGTATAAAGCTCTCTAAAAGTCCATAGAAAAGATAATTTACTTTAGTTCTAAGGAATTTGTAGTAGAGTTATAATATAATCATTGAGAATTCCTGTCCTGTAATTTGACTCCGGGTCTGAATTCTAGGTTTGAATTCTGACTTGGTTGAAATCTTGCCATCCTCTGAGCCTCTATTATCTATGTGTATAAAATAGTCATAAAAGTACCTCCTCCATGTCATAATCACAGAAGGAACTAGGTCATGGTGGTGATTCTGTTCAATTCATCTTTCCCAGATGTGGAAGAGTAGGTCAGGGCTCACTCAGAGAAGCCCAACCCCCATGAGTGGTACAGAATAACAGAGTTACTATAGGAGTGAAATCCCTGGCAAACGCAAGAGCTGATAAGGCTGTTGCTTCCATGTCTAGCATTCAGCTTAAACTTGCTGTACCAGCAGTTGGGAAGGAAAGCTGGACGTGGAAGAGGCAAGAGCAGACTGGAAATGCAAGGGCCCAATGAAAACAATTATGTCCTACAAAGAACAACCAAAACCCACACCTGCCTCTCCCCACTTCCAAACTCGGCATGCCATAGGGAACATGTAGGAGAAGATGGAAAATAGCCAGCAGGAACTGGAGTTCACTCATCTCCTGAGGCTACTGTAACAAAAGGCCACAAACTTGATGGCTTAAAACAACTGAAATTTATTCTCCCACAGCTCTAGAGATGAATACTTTCAAATCAAGGTTTGATCAGATCTGTGCTTCTTCTGAAGTTCCTAGGGAAGATTCCTTCCCAGCTTCTGGCAACTGTTGGCAAACATTGGCATTCCTTGGCCAAAGCTGCTTCACTCTAGCCTCTACTGTCTGAGTTACAATACAAAAGTGTCCTTCTCCTCTCTTGCATGTTTGTGTCTCTACATGGCCTTCTTATAAGGACACTGGATTTAGGGCTTGTCCTAATCCATTGTGATCTCATCTTAATGTGACTACGAGTAATTGCATTTGCAGAGAATATATTTCCAAATAAAGCCACATTCTAAAGTTGCTGATGGATGTGGATTTCGGGGGGAACAACACTGTTCAAACCAGTAAATGGAGGAACTATAACTCGGGGTGCTTCCCTAACCCAAATTAGTGACCTAGCGATAGATCAGCAAATATGTCTGGCAGCCTACAACAGCCATCAAAACATTTTTTTAAACTTGGCAGTTGCTTCATTGCTAGTTCCCACATAGAACCCAATATATCTCTATTGTCCAGCACTGATGTAGAAACATACAAGAAAGGAATTGGGAAACCCCAGCTTTGCGAAATTAACATAATACAGTGACCACACAGTTAAGAGTCAGGATTTTGATATTTTTAGCAGAGAAATGGCTTTGTGGAAACATTTAAAAATATTTATTTTGGAAAATAATATGGTACTTTCTCAAATAAATTAAAAATAAAATGACTATCTGATGTAGCAATCCTACTTTTTCATATATGTCCTATGAATTTCAAATCAGTATGCTGAAGAGGGATCCACACTCCCAAGTTTTCTGTGATTCAGTTCGAAACAGCCATGATATGGAATCAACCTGAGATTTCGTTAGTGGATGAGTAAGTAAAGAAAATGTAGTATATATGCACAGTGGAATATTTTTCTGCCTTAAAAGGGAAGGAAATCTTGTCATTTGGTGCAAAGTGGATGAATCTAGATGCCATTACATTAGTGAAATAAGCCAGAACCATAAAGGTTTCTTTCATGTGTGACCTCTTAAAAAAAAGTTAATCTCATAGAAGTGAAGAGTAGAATTGTGGGGGCTGGGGATTTAGCTCAGCGGCAAAGCGCCTGCCTGGCAAGCGCAAGGTCGTGAGTTCGGTTCCCGGTACCGGAAAAAAACCACAAAAAAATAAATAAATA